CAATGGATACTGTCTTGCCACCGACAACACGAATCTCGGCCCGGCTCGGCCTCTCTGACAACAGCCAGGAGGACGGAGGAGAAAGCTTTCACAAAACGCCGTATACGAGGGAGCTGATCAAATATATGTTTGGAGATACAAGTAGTCAATTCCTTGTATTGGTGAGCTTAGTTTAGGAATGTATTATTTTGAACTGTTTTCATTATACGTAATCTGCAGCTGGGGAGGGATACGTAATAATGTGACAATATAGTATGAGCATTCCTAATCTAAAACATTTCATTAGGAATCATTGTATTTTGTATGCTTTACTCAATAAATTGTTCACAGATCATATCTATTTCTGTCATCATATTCACATATACCGACGTATGTTAAGGTTATGCACAGCCGATTCAAATGTTCGGAAAGGCAACTTAAAGCTTAAAATTGTCCGTAAACAGTGATTAAAGGAATAGTTTACGAAGCCATTACGGACATAAAGGGTGCGTAAAGGCACCGCTAAAGTGAAAAAACGTATCTTTCCAGTACTACGGAAAGGGCACGTAAAGACAATGTTTACGAGAAACTTAAAGGCAGCTAAAAGATCTCTTAAATTTTAAGTAAACGCATGCTTTCCGACCAAAAAAGGTCCGTAAACAATACTTTAAGGAATAGTTTACAACGCCTTTACGGACACAAAAGGTGCGTAAAGGCACCGCTAAAGTAGTGCAAATACGTATCTTTCCAGTACTACGGAAAGGGCACGTAAAGACAATGTTTACGAGAGACTTAAAGGCAGCTAAAAGACCTCTTAAATTTTAACTAAACGCATGCTTTCCGACCAAAAAAGGTCCGTAAACAATACTTAAAGGAATAGTTTACAAAACCTTTACGGACATAAAAAGTGCGTAAAGGCACCGCTAAAGTAGTGCAAATACGTATCTTTCCAGTACTACGGAAAGGGCACGTAAAGACAATGTTTACGTACACGGAAAGGTGCCGGAAAGGTGCGTAAAGATGGAAATTACGCCGCCTTTAAGCACGATTTAAGCATGCTTAAATATCGTTTTTCGTGCTGTGAAGGTACTGGGTGCTACCTGAAATGTCTGTTTCCAAAATCATATCCAGTTTCTTCAGTAACTGTTTTTTGCCATATCTTATTACCTGGATGTCTAAAAAATTCACTGACGTAACATTACTGAAACCATCACTTAAAATGATAAAATATGCAGGCATTGTCAACATTGAACATTGTCAGCAAATACAAAGCTCAAAATCTAGGATAGAAACTAATAATAGAAATATATGATGCATCACAGCCATTTTAAATGTTGACAGCCTACTATCCTGCTATTCCTATAGACCTGTCATATGAGGTATTGAAGAAGGTACATTGTACGTACCCACACAGACGTCTGATGTGATGCCCACTTTGGTGTACCCTTCTGGGCACAGACACTGGTACGTCCCTACAAAGTTCTTACACCTCAGGGTGGGAGGGCAGTCGTTCAGAGCTGGGCTTGAACACTCATCAAGATCTGGACAAGAACAGGACCAAAAGAATGCAACAAACCTTAAAACATATTTAATTTACTGTTAGTGTGACATTCGCATTGCTCATTAGCAATGCTACTAAAAAATAAAACAATTCACTAGTAGATGTATAATGCTGAACTTTATTCCAACACAAGAGACTACAAAGGATTAAATTTTCAAAGACCACTGTTGCCTTCATCAGGATAAGTAATGACAATAATGTAATCCATGAAAGTTGGGACATGTAACCTATTCACACAAGACTTGATTATTGTTTATTGACTATTGTTTATTGAAAAACCAAAAACCCATCACAGCCTCACGGCTGAGAGCCACCTAATACACGCCAAAGGTCAACGGTCGCGACCACTTTCACGCTCAAAGGGGTGTTTTGGGGCCACGAAAAGGCACCATTTTCACCCCCGAAAACACATATACAATAAAAACAAAAGAACGTGCATCATCTGCAGCCCAATAGCAAAACATATACCGAGTCTCAAAAGAATCTGTCCACCCAAATGCGAGAAACAGCTGCGAACATGAAAATATAAATCTCTCACAAAACCCTTCCACGGAAGGATGTCTCCTCCCCTGGAGGTAAAAATAGTAAGAAGGTCGTACCTCTGCAGTGCTTGCCATCAGCAGTCAGTGTGAATCCCCTGGGACAGGTACACTTGTACGACCCTGGTACGTTTAGACAACGGAACGCACACAGGTCCCCATCATAGGCACACTCGTCCACATCTGAGAAACAAAAAGACAGTCAAGAAAAACTTTACTTGATCCCTTCTGAACCCCTGAGATGTCAGTAACATTTTTCCAAGGACAGTATGCAGTAAATATAATTTTTATTATGTTACTAATTTTTTTCCTGACTCTTAGGTACAAGCGATGAAGTCAACTCAAAACAGTGTTAATATTTAAACAATGAATTTTGAACTTTTTATCAAACCACTGCATTGATAGATGGAAAAACTGTTACAAGTAGGAAGAAAACTTTAAGGACTTTCTTCAATTTTTGGGAGCAAAATATGAGCATTTTTGAGTTGATTCAGAGAACCAGAATCTTTTTTTTTTGCAAATCAGAAAAAAAAATGAAGAGGCGAATCCGAGAACCAACAAATTAAATTGGTGTGGCCTTATTGTTACAATAGCTTAGTACAGAGTGTGACATTTAGAATGATGACAAAATGGCACACACTCACCTACACACATCATCATAGGACCAGGTTCAAATCCACTAAAGCAATCACACTCAAAGCCTCCGATAACATTGGTGCAGGTTCCATTCCCACAGGGGTTTCCTACAGCACACTCATCAGCATCTGGAATGCAAGAAGAAACCACGCTGCAATTAACATTGTACAATGAATGCAGTGGAAAATGACATACATTTTGTTAGCCAGTGTCCTCACTATGAGACTGAAAGAAACAGATTATTTCAGACAGTTACAACAATTTCTCCATCCTTTCGTCATTTAGAAGATCACCAAAAAACTGCATTTCTACTAAGATCACAAAACCCACTAATCATGCAGAATGTGGGACTATTCATTATCCACTGCCTTCAAAGAAGAAGTCGAACCCCAGCTAGCATAGTTACTGTAGTAGTAGAAGTAGAAGTTTTTTTTCCAGACAGTTGTTACCTGTCTCCTGTTACTGTATTGCAATGACTCAGAGTATTATACTTGATTGTAAAAGCAATTAGCCTTCGGGCATGATTTTGCAAATTAAAAAAAGCTCATCACTTGGTAAAATCCATATCTAACTTAAATCCAGTTTAATTTTGATCCAACACAACCGTCTTCTGTCTTCCAACCACTTTTGATTCACTCCTGACCTCATCATGCTTCCGGAAAGTCAGCCAGTGGATGATTCATCAGCTTTATTATGAAGGTTGATGAGATCGACCAAAAGTTCACGGTGAGTTAACATCTGTGTCCATAATATCACCAGGGTCCATAATATCGCCACCTTGAGAAATAGTGTGCTTTAAGATATTTTACTGCAACATACTTTTGGTATGCACTACTTCACACATCAAATGTACATACCTAGGGTATGTTGCAGTAGAAATATCTTTAAGCACACTATTTCTCAAGGTGGCGATATTATGGACCCTGGTGATATTATGGACACAGATGTTACTTCTTTGTGTTGAATAAACGTTGAACTTCACCAAATAAACAATTCACCTTCAATCTAGTTTTTTTCAACAATTTTTCTTTCTGTGTGCTTAAAATAAATGCTATTACTGCATGAAAAATGAACACCCAAAACATGTATTTCTAATGCCAATAACTATTATAATAGAAAACACCAGGTCCTGTAGTCACTTCAACATGATCAGATGTCATACAGTATCTTGTATGTACATGTATTAGATTTACCACATTTGTGGAAGGATTAACATAACAGGTGGGTAACTATCACCTCTCTTCAAAGATGTTCAACCTGAGACTAGACTGTAATGTTTAAACTACTTACAACGGGAAGGACCCCTGTTCTTTTCAATTAGTGTGTTGGGATCTTTAAAGCTTTAATGTGCTGAAGTTCTGGCTCTCTTTAAACACAGAACCTCTGGTTTTATGTCCTATCAGAGATGACGTCCCTAAACGAAATTAGGTTGTACATTTGTACTCAATTACACCAGAGTCAAGTGAGGATCAAAATATTTTTTTTTTCAAGGATACAACAATGGGGCCAGCAGTGGATTCGAACACAGAACTTTTAGAGTCAACAGCCCACCTTGCCACCTGTATTGCATCTTGTTTGTTTGTTACCGTGATATAAACATGTACTATGTGAGTGCTGCACTCACCAATACAGTTGAGTCCTGTATCGTCCAGTAGGTAGCCTGGTGTACACTGACACCTGAAGGAGCCATCCGTGTTCACACACGTCCCGCCATTACAGATGAGTGGGTCGATGCCACATTCATTAATGTCTACAAGGGTGTTTCCTCCATTCACCTCAAAGCCAGCTCCACCAGGGCACAGGTCTCTGAACCCTTCAATATCTAGAAGGAATACAAAACACACAAGTTACATCTTCCATTGGCAGATGTGTCCCAGATTCTTATCATCAAGCCCATCACAGAATATGTTTACCTCATTTCTTAATATGTAAATTAGATCCTGATTTGCATAATATGCATCTCATTATGTTTATCTTCACCTTAGGCACCTACCTACATGTGCCAAAAACAAGGAAAACCCAGTTATTTGCAATCAAACTCTGAAACAAAATGCCTACTGCAGTTTCAAAGAAGCTGCTAGGAGGACAAAAATATGCCATATACTCCTAGTCCCAACAGCTTTAGACTACCTGACACTTCTGGAAAATTTTACCTCAAACTTTGTAGCTCCGCTGAAATACCCAAAACAGCCGCTGGAAGGTCCATTATCGAAATTGACCTGCATCTTTCCTGTCTCTACCTAACCACTAAATATCATATATAACAACCATCTGCATTTTCTGAAGTTATGCAGTACACAAAAAAAACACCAAAATACACAACTCTCTGCAGCAAAGTAGGAACATGATAGGATAACCATTTTCGAAGTTGAACTTAGTTTCTATAACCTCTGCTCACTTACCAAATATCATTAAGATTCGTGCACAAATGTTTTAGTTACATGTATCCTGCATACATGCAATCAACAAATGCACAAAAAGTCTGCTAAATTACGATTAAAAAAGCCAGATGCACCATTCTTCAACTTGAACTACAGTTTTACAACAGCTACCCACATGCCAAAAATGAAAAAAATCTGTCCACAAAAAATCGAGTTATGATGTTGACCTCCATACAGGGACACACCAAAGCTGCTCCACCAAAATCTAACTGGGGGTGCCCTAATTCCGACCTACCCCTAATTCCGTACTAGTTTGAAAAATCCTTGTTGCGGCGTTATGCATAGGAGCACGTGCCTATAAATAACCACAAGAATGGACAAAGTTTGGGGGTTAATATCAGTAATCCACAAAGTTTGTTTTATTTCGTACACTCCGACAACAAGCGAGTGAAAAATCTGTTTGAATTCGACGCTTGTTCGGGGGTTGACGAGCGTGTCAAAAATGCAGGTTTTGCTTTTCAAACAGCCACTTTGGAGCAAGTCGGGTAATCGTAAAAAGATAACTTTTTGGGGACAGAAAAACAATAGTAGATTTAGTTTTAGTAAATGCACATACCTATTACCAAAGGTACAAAATGTGTATGTGCGTTTGCTTGGAACATAGGTCAGAATTAGGACCCCTCCGTTACCGATTCCATATCTTTTTGACAAAAGCAATAAATGCCATTCAGGAAGTGGAGGTGCCGAAATATATGATGCCTTACGAGTGTGTTTAAAAGTTGGAAACACAGCTGTTAGCCATGTTTGTTTACTTTCTGGTCGTTTCTGGTGGCACCACAAACTGAGTGCTCCTTATCTGGGCTGTTTCAGCACCAACCATAAGTGTCAGAAATGTGAGATACATGTAATTGCACATTCGTCAAATATGTTAAAAAGTGGAAGTAATTAAAAAATTACAATCACACAATTATTTCTTTAAATAAAATATTTCAATGTTTGGCACAAAAATGTCACATAATGCCCCTTTAAAATTTGATGACTCAGTGGTCCAAATGATCCACTTGTGTTGATAAATTTTGTATGTGAATGAAAGAATGAATTATTTAATTTATGGAGTAAATGAATGAATGAATGAATGAATGACTCAGTGGTCCAAATGATCCACATGTGTAGATCAATTATTGTGTAAAACTATGTATACGAATGAATGAATGAACGATTGAATGAATGAGTGAGTGAGTGAGTGAGTGAGTGAATGAATGACTCAGTGGTCCAAATGATCCACATGTATAGATCAATTATTGTTTAAAACTATGTATGCAAATGAATGAATAAACGATTGAATGAATGAATGAATGAATTAATGAGTGAGTGAGTGAGTGAGTGAATGAATGAATCAATGAATGAATGAACGATTGAATGAATGAATGAATTAGTGAGTGAGTGAGTGAGTGAATGAATGAATGAATGAATGAACGATTGAATGAATGATATAATTAGATTTCCAAAAGTCCTACCTTCGTCCTTGTCAGGACACACCTCGCATGGATCGCCCCAGCCAGCTCCCATGGTGCAGCAGCATTTCATCTTTGTGGTGTTCATGGCACGGGGGGTCCTGCACTGGCTGGCCTGGAACACGTTGAAGCAGTAGCTTTCCCTCATATCTGAGAGGGAAAAAGGCATAATTTGCCACATAATGTTAGATTCATACAAGCTTTATTTGCATCTTTATGCCCGTCACCAGGAGCTAACTGCATATGGATAGCACATCGGCAGAACGTACTGCACCTGCGCGAAACCCGTAATGTATTGTACATAGCACTTCGGCAGAATGTCTCATATAAGGTAACCGTTTTATCCGCTCATATAAGGTTAGTATTTCGACAGTAGTTTCCAAATGTTGTGTTGGAAAGAATATCCTCTGCAACAGGAAAAATTCTGAAGCAACGTTGACCAAAAACCCAACGAAAACGCGAAAATACGGGGTTCTGTGCAGGCTCAGTACGTTCTGCCGACGTGCTCATATGGATGATGTTACATGTACTTAATGTAGTCCAGCAAGTCCCAGAGCAAAAGGGAAGGGGGAGGAAGTGATACAATAGTTGCTGTAATGAAACTGTTTAGCAATGGAATAGTGGCCGCTTACATTGTAAGTCGCTAAGATTAAGTTACCATTAACTCTTGTCAGTAAGTTAAACATAGTACATGTACAATCATGTAATATAATAAAAGGATAACGCAAAAGTCTTAGGAACTACATGTACTAGAAAGTACACTCTCTCTAATCTAAGTCTTACAGGGTTCTTCTCTCTTCTTAAAGCAGCTGGAGATGGATTCAAATAATTTCTAAATATTTTGTGTGGTCATGATAACTGATCTTTTTTTTTTCCAGCATACATGTATGGACATGATGTACATTGTACATTAACTGAAACATCAAACTGTGAAATTGACTGTAGACAATGCTGCAAAAGATAGTCCAGGCTAAGGCAGCTAATCCAATGGCATGCTACATTTTACCATATATTATGACAAAGATGTTAACTTTACCTTTTAGGCATGAGAATGGCTCCCAAGACAAGGAGACAGGGGAGGCCAGAAGATCTACACAAGTCTTGACCTGGTCTTGAGTTCTTGTGAGACTAGGTTACTCCATGATCAAGAGGTGGACGTCAAAAATTTGGAGGAATGTGTTTTTTACCTTTTCAACTCGTCACTGATTGAGGAATATTCTATACTAACTGCCAAGGCAATGGTCTTTATTGGCCCATAAAGATAGAAGATACAAACCCATGCAGTCGTTCCCAGTATCAGTGAGAGCAAAGCCGTTGGGACAGGTGCACTGGAAACTTCCATCTGTGTTTTCGCACTCTCCGTTCTTACATCTACCAGTCAGGTCTGCACATTCATTAATGTCTGAGGAAATAGCACATCAAGTTATGTTGTTACCAAGTTTCAAGTTCATCTATTTCACCAGAGTATATCTCAGATCTGCGGATCTATTTCCAGATATATCTGGGTGCACACTTTTTAAAATACAGCAACTGTCATGAAAACTACAACACAATAATATACAAATAATGTTACAAGTACATGTACAGACTTATAGACCCAACCAAAGTGGTCACAGTATGAACTTAGTCCAATCAGTTTCCAGGTTCAGTCCTACAGTCTGCAGTCCTCTACAGTCTGTTTTTAAATGCTGATGTTGATGTACATGTAAGTTGCCACTGATTGGCAACAAGAGTAGCCTGACTAAATCGCGCTCCTGGCGGCCGCCGCCCTAGGTTGCCGCCCCCCAAAAGCTTGATGTCAAACACGCGTAAAGCTGGCGGACTGTCGACGGCCCTGGTCCGCCATATATGGTTAATGAGATGCAAACGTCACGAACGGCCCTCAGACGGTGCGGCACCCAACAGAGATGGTTGCTATGGGCCTGTCGGTCGCTACCCAGTGATGGACGTCGGCGCGCCTTTCATGTCCCAAACTTGAAGTTTGGCCGAGGAAGGCACGGCCACCCGCTCGCGAGTCGAATCTGTTTCTATTTTCCAAAGTTTCTGGAACTTCCTCGTGGGAAATGGCAGCCACACCGAGAGAAAAGAATCTCATCCACGGATTTGTATTTGGCGTCACGATTTTCACTCGGCTATGTCCACATTTCGCATCTCTGATTAGTTGTAGCGTCCGCTTCCGGCAGCGCCGGCGGTATTGAAAATTGACCGAGCCGACTCGGCGCGCGTGTAATCAACTTTTCTTTCTTCGATATAAGCGCTAAAATGCTATTTTCCACAACCACACATCGATATTCTAGTGAAGAAATGCATAGTTTCAAGAATCAGTCTCAAAATTATATACTTCTATGCGGATTTTAAACGTTTTTCGTGCCATTTTGTCGTCGCTGAACCCGGAAGTGTGGACCTCGCTCTCGGCGTGAGTTTTCTTTTACCCACAAAGTAATTAATTTCTAGCGTATTTTACCCTGCGTTTTATCGATCAAAACAATAAACAACTCCCGCTGAGGAGAAGCCAGTAACATTTTAGATTCCAGCAATTATAAAGTATCGACAATTTGACAGGAGTCAACATCGTGGCACAAGAATCACAGTCGTCAACCCGCCGTTTTCGCTTGCTCTGCACTGTTTCACGATCTCGGTCTTCTCATAGCCGGTAGGAAGACACGAAAACACGTCGTTTCTCTGTTTAACGAAAAAATTGTATCGTCTATTCCTGAAGCGGCTCTAGGGGCCAGGGACTCCCAAAGTCCACACACACAGACTCCAGAATGCACAGAAACTCGGTTTCGGGCTAGTCGCAGCTATTTTTCTGAGAAATTCCCACCCGCAGTCGATCAAATTTCTCGTCCCCGCCCGGTACGTACTCCGCCCTTCTCCGGCTGCCTGGCGCCGGCCCAGTCGGTTCCCACATTAATTCCTAATACTGGCTTCCTATTGGTGACTCCAGGAAAGGGAACGGGCCGCCCGACTTACAGCTATTCTGCCACAAGCTCTTGGGGTGGGGGTCATTAACCTCCAGCCGAGAGCTTGTGTATACACAGGCTAGCAACAAGAGTAGCCTTTGGTACTGCAGACTCCCCTTGAAGGTTTCTATGTGTGCTTTAGGAGTGTAGATCTAAAGGCTTGATGAGAATTCTCAAAATAAGCACCTTCTCTCTTACACAGATGTACATGACATACTAATATACAATAACACATACTCATATCTGAGTATTTATAAGACATTGAAAGTCATTTTCTGGAAAAAGATTTTTAAAAAACACTTTCTCAGCCAGGACTCATTTTGTCACTACTGTAACAGTAACTACAGATTCTGAAGCTGTCACTACTACATATTATTAAGCAAATCACCATAGCTTTCTTCCTCTATACTCTTTCAGGAGAAAATTCCATGCTGAAAGCTTCTTTCCTATAACTACATGTACATCACTATGGAGCAAGCTCCAAAATGGGTACAACCTTAAACTTTTCAAGTCTAAGGTTAACAAACATCTGTCATTACAGTCTCATTATGTATTTACTGTAAATGACACCCATGTGGCTCATATGAGACTTGTTTTGGGGTGAACATTATTAGTAAATAAGGCCACACAGACTTGATTTTATGGATGACATCCTCTGAGGACCCCTAAACTAGTGCGCGCGGGTGAATAAAAAAAAATTCCGGCCAAAAATAAAAATGCTACTAAACCACAGGAATACAAAGCTGGTATTGTGAATTTCCAGTTATACATTACAACGTAGTCGAGAAGCCGGCATATGTTGGCTTTTTGCGGATATTTATGAATCGGCACTGTACGTATGTACTGAGTTCGTGAGTCGTGGAGCTTCAGCAGCCTGGGTGCCATCCTCCAGAGTTACCCACCGGCTCCGTATTGTCGCTAACTACCATGGACTAACCAGGCCTAGAGCCAGGCCAGACGTGATCTGTTTTCTTTTTTTTTTGAGAGAGAGTAGGCGAAAATCAATGTGCGTGCGGATGTTATCCATAAAATTAAGTCGGTGTGGCCTAAGTATAGTAAATTAAAAAAAAAGATTGACTAGTATGGGCAGGTTTACAACCATGACATCTACATCTACATGTATGTACCTTCACAGAAGTCTCCTCTAGTGTTGATTTCATATCCCTCGTAGCACTCACAGGTGAAGGACCCGTCTGTGTTCCTACACGAACCTGACCCACATGTCCCCAGCTCTCTGCATTCATCAATATCTGTAGGCAGTCAAAGAGAGAACATCTTACATGTACCAACCTCAGCATGAAAGTTTATCTGTGTTGGTATATAACATTATGATAACAGTTAAACTTTACGTGACCAACACTGAAGTTTCCCAGCATATACATATAGAATCTCCAGGACACTCTGTCTCACTAGAACCAGATTTCTTTGCGAGAGGAGTGAAAGAGGCGGTGTACATTCAGGCCAATTGTCCAACACTGAACAGAGACCGGGGGGGGGGGGGCGTCATAGGTTATCTGCCACGCACGACCCTCTGCTGCAACCACACGTGTTTCCGACGTCACGTCCCGGAAGCTGCAGTAGAAGGGTCCATTCCGTGAACAAGGCTGACGGAGTCAGTCGAAAATTTGGGGTAAGTCCCAATTTACTTGGTGTTGGTTACGCGTAAAGTTTAACTGTTATCATAATCATACCAACCTGTGCTGTATTGCTTTTACATATTTGTTTCTTTGTTTATGAAAGTGAGACATACTGTAAAGATGTTGCTAGATACATGATCTAATACTAAGCTATTATTTCATCCATTATTTTCTACCACTATGAACTAAAAAGTCACTTTAGAAGTCCTTTAGAAGTCAGTTTTAACTTTTACTGAACAGGAAAAGAAAAGAAAGTACTATGGGAAAGCTTATTAAGGCTACATTATGTTAATTAGAGTTAGCGCCCATCCTTTGGAGATAGAGAGAGGCCGGTATAGAAGGCTACCTGTATGTGAAAGAATTTGTAAATATTGTAATGCAAAGGCTGTGGAAGACGAAATACACTTTATCTCAAATTGTTCCTTTCATAGCAACGCTCGAAATGAGTTAACTATTCAAACTTCTACAATTTATCCCAATTTTACTAAAATTACAGACCAAGAAAAAACTATTCTTCTTTTAACTTCCCAAAACCCACTAATTTTAGAAAAGGTGGGACATTACGTCTTCCATAGTCTAAAAAAGAGAAGTCAAACCCCTTAGACATAGTTTTAGACATAGCTATAGCTGTAGACAACTACCTTTCATCATGTAGATTTTAGTTATTTTATACTACGTTTCATTATGGGTTCACCACACCACGAAGTGGTGGTGAACCCATATTGCTTTTTCTGATGTTTCTTCTTCTTCTTCTCCTCCTCCTCCTTCTCCTCCTGCCATTTTTTAAATGGATTCAGCTTCTTCATTTTAGGGCCTAAGGTCCTGAAATTTGGTATGGAGGTACAGTGGGCAAATACCCCTAGGCGTTTTTTAAATTTTTGTGATACAGGCTTTTACAATCGTTTTATTTGCTTTTTTAGCGGTCCCCATAGGAAAGTACTGTGCGGGGGCGTACGCGCGTGACGTAATAAGAAAGAAATTCGGCGGCATGCCCATATATGGGCATGCAAGCATGAACCTGACGCAGCCTAATCTTTTCTTCTTGCTGATTGGCTGTTGGATTTGATTGGATTAACTCAAT